AAAAGTTGCCCATTTATAACAACCTGTTTTGATTGGCTGCTGTTGAACTGACACGACGTAACTTCACGATTGACATTTAAAGCTCGTTGCCACTAAATGCTCATTACTATGCAATTTCAACCGAGTCAAGTGATTTAAACGATGATAATTATTTTAATTAATACTGTTTGTTTTATTATTTTCTAATCTACGATCATAAATCTAATATTCACTTCCAAAACTTCACTTCATATTCTATCTTCATATTCATATTCACTTCATATTCATATTCTTCATATACTAATATTCACTTCCCCGAACCCCCCCCCCCCCCCAAACTACGGGCCTGATCTGGCATGGAGAAGGGAACATGAAATTGAGCTGCACACTTGATCTACTAATATCTTTACTGCTCTTTAGAAATAAAAATGTTCAGTATATAGCAACAACAAATAAGTATCAAATTAAGTATCATTTATTTAATAGTATTAGTATCTATGCTTTAAATTAAATTAGTATTTGGAGATTGGTTTGTATTTCAATGGAAAACATTTACAGTAGACAAACATTTTTGAAGTCACGGTGAGCATTGATCACACATTTCATCTTCTAAACGTGTCAGTATGCCTCCTCTAGCTGGATTATAGTGGTCTGTTGTGAACTTAGCTACTGGAATTATTTGTTTTGGCTTCAATATAATTATGTTTTGTTTTTAAATGTAGCATATGTTTCTTTCTTTCACTATTGTTTGACCCCGTAAATACTGTTGATTTCTTTTTTAAATATGTTGTTGCGATATATGTTTAAGCTCTGTTGTCACCAAAGATGACAGTCGAAACTGCTGGTGTAGAAGACTATCCGTTGACAGTGGCGTCCACCCGATTGTACTCCGATTGGTTTGATACTTTACATATGTTTCTTTGGTGAACTTATATTTAATTTGAACATTTAGTGAAAGTAATTCTCTAGTTTTAGCGAATATTTTTGGTGAAAATGTTTCCTTCCACTTCTTTTTGAACATCGCTACTTCAACTACTTTAATATTCCGTATATGTGTACCATGAGGGACTGTGGGTGGACCGCTATTAGATCAGTTCGTTTTGTGACTTTTCTAATTCACAGACATACATGTACCCTGGAGTTGATGAATACACTGTTTGGACACTATCAAACTTATCCATATGAGACATTCAAAATAGAAAGTAAATATAGCCAAGGTTATTGGTTTCTCCACTACGAAGTTTATGTAACTATGCATGCACATGTTATTGCAAGACCGCTATGCTGAAACAGCGGGCCTATTTTGACTATAATGTCGTTTATTTGTTGAATGTGTTGATATATCTGAGTCAAAATGTACTTTTCATGGAAGTTTCCACTGTAATTTGGACAGAGAATGTCCCAGAAAGGCTGTTCCAGTATCAGGTGGCTCCATATTCTTGACGAAAATACATAATCTGAGCGGTCTAGACAACTTAATGGCATTACAAGATGTGTTGGCAACCTGATACTGGAAATCGTACAATACAGTGTATTTCCTATTATGTCAAGAATATAACGGTGTCTATACATATATGGGCCCTGACAGTCCAGATAATAACAAATTCATCTTACACGAATGTATATGATTTGGATGTTGTTTTTAACATATCAAGCTTCAACCTTTTACTCACAGGGTTGATGTTTAATTGCCCCTGTCATTGTTATGTGAACCATACATTT